TTTTTTTTAAACAGTGACCATTTTAATCCAGTGTAGAATACCTAAAAGAGATCCTGGGTGGGGGGTGTGGAGAGCAGAAGCTATTCAGGGATGTACTGGAATTCTGGGGACAAAGATTTCAGGCAGGAAAACAAGCCATTGATTCCAAGACTTGTGGGGGGCTCTAACTCAAGAAAAAGTAAAAAAGCAACTCGAATACCAGGGGAATGGTAACTCCCACAGCCCTGAGTCAATACCTGAGCAGAATGCATTTGATTTACTTTTAACGTAATTATTCTAAGAAAGTATAAGCCAACAGAAAATGTCACAATCTAGGCAAGCGCCCTTTTCTTCCTAACTTTGAGTGGCGGAATCAGGTTTGCTAATCTCAGAGTATTTATTCAGAAGCCCAGAGCATGGTTCCTGCAACATCTTCCTTTCAAGATCTCTTAGGCACCAGAAGGGAGAAAAGGTGACCACAGGCCAACAGCCTGAGTGGGGAGTCACAGTCCAAAAGGCTAATGTTTAGGCTGGAAAAACCTGTAGGTGAAAGTCTAGTGCTCCCCTGTCCCCTAGTCCTGGTCCTCACCTCCAGGCCATGGACACTCTGGCAGTTGTGGAACCCGGCCAATCATGTGAATACCAGGTGCCCCTGCTCCCCAGGGTTGGGGTACCTGTCGCCCATACTCAGCCCAACAGGGAGGATTTGTGTGGGAAGAAATGCCTGGTAAGACACTGGGCATGGGCCCCCCGACTTGCCTAAATCACCTAAAAATATCCTCTTGGGCTTATATTAAGAATAATCTTAGGCTAGTGTGGAGAAACCATTCATTCATTCATTCCATTAATTCATGAGGACCCAGAGAGCCACAATCACTGGCAGATTGTGCCGAGAACACCATTTAATCAATCCCATACACACACATCAAAACCAAATCTGACTAGGCACATCCCTCCGTTATTAAGCCAATAAGGGCCTCATATCCAACTCAAACAAACAGGTACTGGGCACCTCAGGCACACTCATCTTTGTCAACTCATTTACTCCCTACAACCACCAGAGCGGTTGGATAAATAGCTACTTTCACTGCTGGGAAATAAGTTCAGAGAAATTAAAGGACTTGCACAAGGTCACACGGCTACTAAAGCCAAGCCCGTCTGACTCCAAAGCTGCCTCTTTCCCTGCCACGTGGAGCTTGGGCGGGTTCCCCAGGGAAACCAGGTCCTCGGTTTTGGTGAGACCTCAAGAGGCGAAGGGGGGTTCGTCCGCCTCCCTCCAGTCCACGGAGAGGACTGGCTGTCTCCCAGCTCCTCGGAAAGGCTGTGGCGGCACCCGCAGCCCCGCGACCCAGCGGGCTCCCTCCCGGGCTGGGCCGGGGGTTCTTCCTCCGCGCAGTACCGAGGGTCTCGCCGGCCGGTGCGCGCGGGGAGTCGGGGGTTCGCCCTGCGCGGAGCGCCGCCACGTACGGGGGGCGCCCGGACGCAGCTCTGTGAAGCTCCAGGTGGACAGAGTCTGGGACACGATCCCGGGGACGTAATCCCGGAAAACCGGGAGAAGCGTTCTGGGAAGGGTAGCGCCTGCTTACGGTGAACTGGGCGGCGGGGACGCCCGCTGACAGTGGCCCAAACTTTCTCCAGTGTTCTCCCACCGCTTCCTCCCTCAGCGCTCTGGGAACCCGGAAGGCGGGGAGGCAAGGGCGGCGGCTTCGAGCCCGCCAGCTGCCCCCAAGACCCGCTCTTCCCTGCGAGGCACCAGAGCTGACTTACGAAGAGCCGGGGTGGGGGGGGGCGGGGGGGCAGGCAGCCCGTCACTTCCCGCCCGCGGAGCCCCAGGTGAGACCGGGCAGGCTTCCTTCCCTGCCCCAGGTCCTGTCTCCCAACTGGAGTACGGCGGGGAAAAGATGTCTGGGGGAGATGATGGGCTGCGGAGAGAGGCGGTGGGCGGCGGGGATGGAGTCAGGGGGCTTCAGGTCTGCGCGGGTCGAGCGGCTCTCCTGGCCAGGAGGCGCTCACCTGCCTGGACATCCCCTCCCTGCGCTCAGCCGAGGAGCGTAGGCGCGACATCCCCCCGGCGCAGAGCCTCGGGGTGGCTGGAGCCAGGGTCCCCCGGCCTCCAGGGAGCAGGCCTCGGGAATTTGGGCTTCCCTTTCCGTCTTCACCGGGTTTCCCTTCCCATTCCGAACCCCACACACAGCTCCTCGGAGGCCCATTCCACTGGGAGCCTGTCCTAGAAATCCAGACCCTTCTCCCTCGCCTGGGACCATCGGAAAATAATTTGGAGTTCTTGCCGGGGACCCTTCCGAAAGCTTCAGGCTCTTCCTCCCCTCCTCCCAGTGCCCCGGGACCAGTCAAGGGAGAAACCGAAGTCCCTTCTCGGGAAGGCATCTGTCCGAGGAAGCCGGAGTGACCATCCCGGGGGGGGGGGCGGGCTGCTCTGAGAGAAGCTGGTATCCTCCCCTTCAGGGCCGGGAGAGGGGAAAGCCTGTCCCCCACCTGGTCTGGGACCCGACAGAGAGAAACCAGAGTTCCCTCCACTCCAGAGGCGGATCTGGAGGAAGACGGGTTTCCACTGCTTTCCCGGAGCGGGCCGGGGTGGGGAGAAGCCAGGTTCCCTCCCAACCAGGCCGGTGTGGCGCGTTGCTCGGCTGCAGCCCACGCCCGAGAGCCGCGCGTCCGAGATGGGGCTGCCCCGCCGGGCTGCGGCCCCCACGACGGCCCCGGACGCTGGCTCGGGAGCCGCGCGGAGCTCGCTGCGAGAGGGGCTGAGGGAGGCCAGGACAGAGGGCCCTTGCCGGGCTCTGCCGGCACCGTGCGCCCGGGGACCTTGCGCCCTCCTCCGGCACCGCGCGGTCGGCACCCTTCTGGGGGCCGGGTTCCGCGCCCCCAGCGCCACGCCGGGCCACTTACCACGGTAGCTGGTTCCCGGCTTGTAGAAGTCGGGGTCGCCCTCCACGCGGAGGCTGAACTCGGTGTAGCCCTCGCGCCGCGTGCCCTGGGCGCGCAGGATGCGGCTGCAGTAGCCCTCCGACTTGGGCACTTTGTCCAGGGTCTCGTCGGAGAAGGCCAGCGCCGCGGCCAGGGGCAGCGCCAGGGCCAGCAGCGCTGGACTCCGACTCAGCCTCAGGGGCTCTGGGGACAGCCTCATCCTCGCGGGCGCTCAACTTTGTGCCGCTGCCGCCCGTCCTCGCCACGCGACGCCTGCCCGAAGGGGTCCCCGGAGAAGCGAGACCTGGCGGAGCCCGGGCGGGGAGCGGGAGCTCGGAGCCGGCGCCAGCAACCGGGAGACCGTGCGGGTCTCGCCTTGGCGGCTGCCGAGCTGCGCCGCGCGGAGCTGAGCTGAGCTAGCGGAGCCGCGCGAGGAAGGGAGGGCGGCGGCGTAGGGGGAGGAGGGCGGGCTGATTTTGCCCAGATCCCCGAGCGCAGCGCTGTTTTGTTTCCGAGCTGGCGATTAGCTGCGCGGCCGTGTTTATTTTGCGACGCTGGATTCCCAGGGTCTGGCGAGGAAATCATAAGGCACGGGGACACGGCGGGCTCTGTCCCACCACCAAGGAGGCTGCTGCCCCAACCCCAGCTACACCTTTGCACCCTGCGGAGTAACAAAACTAACTTCTGTTGCACACCTACTTTGTGCTTACCAGTATGCTAGGTGGTTGGCGAAGGGTATCTGCTCACCTTCTCCACTCTCCCTGCACACAACAAACATGACCTTACTTTCACTCATTTTACAGATGAGCAAACTGAGGCCTGCGGCTAAACAGTTAAGGCAGGGTCGGATGCCATGACTGTGTGACTCTATTGCTCTTTTGGAGCAGGTCAGACTGGAGGATGAGAAAGGAGCAGAATGACTCATCCAACTGCGCCCAGTAGGCATAGCGCCTACAGCCTGTAATATTTTTGGAGACTCCTGAAAATATTTTCTTTAAAATCAGAAGAAAAAAAAAACCATTTAGGTCTAATAAAATGTTATACTATATAATGTCAATATATTTCTACTTACACCTACGCAGTCATAAAATAGAATGTTTACTGTTGTTTTATGAAGGAAGGAGATCCCAAAGACAAAAGTGCCTAAGGCCCGGGGAAGTCCTCATATAGCTCTAGAAAGGAGTTTCAAAAGGTTCAAAGAAGTCTGTGTTTTCTTGGCTTAGATTTTAGTTCAGGTTCTCAGTCCCCAGTAACCGATGTTTAGAGAGGAACTGAGCCTGAGGCACCAACGCCAAGGCCAGACAGGAAAAGGCCCAGGTGAAGGAATCTCCCAGTGTTTCCCCGGGGACAGACTTGGAGCAAACCTTAGTCCTGCCACTCACCTTCTGTGAGGCGTTGGCGATTTATTTAGTCTCTCCAACCTCCAGTTTCATGCTCTGGAGGGAGCGTGTGTGTGCGCGCGCCTCCAGGCTAATATGCCCTTCCTCTAGGGGGTGCTAGAGTCCAATGAAATGACCCATATAAAACACCTGGCCTAGCCTCCATGCCCGCCCCCCCCCCCACCCCCCCACCCCGCCCCCGCCATGGGTAGGTCTGGGCTGGTCCTGGGTACCAAAGGCTTAAGGCCCCTGCCTCCCCTCAGTTTGCACAAGCATCCCTCTCCAGGGGTTTTCACAAGTTTTGGTGACCCCTCTTCCTCCCCTTGGGTCATCAACACATCTTAAATGACTACATTTTAGCATATGTGCCGCCTAAGCGAGCACTTAAATGCCTACATTTTAAAAAGCAATCTCCTTTGCTTTCCAGGTCGGGTTTTTCCTCTTTGACATCACTAACTAACTGCCCAGAAGAGCTGTCTGCATTGGAAATCTCCATTCCCCCACACCTGCTCACTTAACTTTCCAGTCCTTGTCCTGGGACTCCCGCTGAGACTATTAACTGAGCACCTTCTCTCAGAAGTCACCCACGAGTGCCCCCTTACTGAAGCCAATTCTGCTTTTTTCTTTTCTTTTTTTTTAGATTTTATTTATTTATTTGATAGAGAGAGACACAACGAGAGAGGGAACACAAACAGGGGGAGTGGGAGAGGGAGAAGCCAGCTTCCCGGTGAGCAGGAAGCCTGATGCAGGGCTTGATCCCAGGAACCTGGGATCATGACCTGAGCCGAAGGCAGACGCTTAACGACTGAGCCACCCAGGCGCCCCCAATTCTGCTTTTTTCTCAGTCCTGACCTTCCTTGACCCTCAGCAGCACCTGATCCAGTTGACCAGCCCTCCTTCATAGAGGTGACACTCGGATTCACGTCTGTGTCCCAAGTGAATTATCTCCCGTGTCACTGGCTTGGAGCTCATGCTAGATTCCGTGGTACATAGTGCCAATCATCTAGCACGTCTTGTTGAGTGCAGATTTGGGGCCAAGTCTGTGCTCAGCAGTGGGCCGCATAGGGAACAAAGATTCATTCATTCATTCATTCATTCATTCATGCTGAAGGCTGACCATGTGCTCAGCACTAGGACACAAGACAGACTTATTACTTGTCTTTGTGGATCTTACAATCCAGTGGGAAAAGCAAATATTAAATACATAGTTACACAATCTTTTCAAATTATACTTGTGATATATGCTACAAACTAAGATAAGTGTTGTGTGAGATTTTATCTCAGAGGACAGGAATGAATATACAGAGATGAATAAAATGTGGCTTCTGCCTTTACAGATCTTACTGGATGTCCAATAACCCAAATATGTGCTCTTTTCATCTGAATCAACATAGTCAAATCTAACACGGATATGGGCGGGTATGGAGCGGGCAGGGATGTAAGAGTTATTTTTTTATTAAACATTGACAGGAAAACCATGTCAAGTAGGAGGCCCATTTCCCCTCCCGCCTTGTTTCCCAAATTAGGAACCTATAAAATCTCCTGTCTAGGAGCCACAGCTAATAAGGGGAAAAGATGCAAGATTCAAAACAGGCCTCACCGAACACAAAAATGGGGTTCTTCCCACTACACGGTTTTGACCTCATCATCTGGGCTATGACAGCCACAGCTGGGCTCTAAGCAGCCCATCAAGCTCCAGGGCCACTCCCCAAGCAAGATTTCCCCAACCCAGCTCTGCTGTCACGTCAGACCTCTGTTCTCTCTCCACACATCCAATCCACCACCAGGTTTCACCTTCTAACTACCTCTTGAACCTGTCCCCTTCTCTCCATCTACTCTGCCACCACACCAGTCAGGTGTCACCATCTCTCAGCCTCCTAATTGGGCTGCCCACGTCCACTCTTGTTCCCCTCCCCAATATGCCTTCTGCGCTGAAGCCCAAATGATCCTTTTTTTTTAATTTTATTTTTTTATTATGTTATGTTAGTCACCATACATTACATCATTAGTTTTTGATGCAGTGTTCCATGATTCATTGTTGGCGTATAACACCCGGTGCTCCGTGCAGAATGTGCCCTCTTTAATACCCATCACCAGGCTAACCCATTCTCCCACTAAATGATCCGTTTTAAAACACAGATTTGAATGTCAATCCCAAGGTTAAAACCCATTTCGGTGGCTTTTCGGGGCTCTCAGAACAAAGAAAGAATCTTCAGCATGGCCTCCAATGCCCTCCTGAATCCTCTCAGGCCGTGCACCCCTTCTGTCACAGGCTCCAGCCCCCAGGCCTCCTCGGTGGTGTGAGCACGTGCCTGTCCTGTTCTCTCAGCCTATAGTCTCTCCCACCTGCCACCTTCCCCAGCCAACTCCTGAGGACCTCTCAGAGCTCCATGCAAAACTGCTTCCTCAGAGGAGTCCTTCCTGGTTGCCTATTAATATGCTCCTCCTTATATGCTCGCCTGGAACCTGATGTATTTTCTCTTAATATTCTCAAGATTTTTTAAATTCCATGTTCATTTTTATGTTTGTCACATTTTGTATTTCTTCCATGTCTGTCTCTGTCACTAGATTCCAAGCTCTGTAAGGGTAGGGACTGCCTCTGTGGTTCACCACCCTATTCTCCATGTACCCCATGTTCTAGGAATAAAAAGTCGTTCATAGCCCAAGCTCTTCAAGTGACCTTCAAGGCCCTCCATGATTTGGTTCTAGACCCCAGACTGAGCTCTCAGTGCTGTCAGCTCGGTTCCCTGTGTGCCCCACTTTTAGTCCTACCTTGTACCTTTGCCAGTAGCCTTCCCATCACCTAGAATGCCTTCCTCCCCTGCAACGCATTTATATTCCCTCCTCCATGGAATGAGATCCTGCATTCTCTCCTCTAGACGTCAGTAGAACTTACGAGGAGAAAGTTCCATATTTTGACTATTGTGTTCCGGTAGATTGTCATGAACTGTTTTGTGTGTGTCTATGTCTCATCTCTTAGCAATGAATCCAGTTTACTTTCTATTTAATTTCCTGTTCAGATGTTTTGTTCTGTTGTAAAATACACTGGACTTCAAGAAATCTCTTTCCAGTTTTGTAGCCTAAGGCAGAGCTGATGTTAGTTGCTAGGGTGTTGCTAGGGAAAGTCATTTAGCCAGGGCAGATAATTAACTTTATCAGTGTGTGTGGGTAAGTCACAGAAAAGAAGAGCTGGGGGCCCTACTTATCCAAGGGGAAAAAAAAATTCCTTTGATTGGTAAGAGGTTAGATCAGCTTTTTTTTTTTTTTTTTTCTTTAAGAGAGAAGGGAAAAAGGAGTTTCTAGATTAGTGTTTTTCAGAGTATGGTCATTGAAACACAAGCGTTAGATGTTTGCCTCCAAAGCAGATTCCAAAATCCCACCCCGGACCTATTGAATCTGCACTTTGAACAAATTCAAGCCAAAGTTTAGGAAACCACTGTCTCAGACTTGAAATGCAAGGGTTCCAGTCTGGGTTTCCCACGTTTTGGCTATGTGAAGCTGAGTGCTCTTGGCATCACAGGACCAGTTTAAACTATTTTCAATGTACAAAATTGAAAATAGTAATACACATTTTGCCTTCATCCTGGGGTTTTGAGAAATAAATGGGTAACTGTGGTAATAATTTGCAAACCTCAAAATGATTTACACAAAAATTCGTATTGTTACTCTTATTTTATTAATTTAGAACAAGAATCAGGAAATACCTATGTTACTCTAACTCCTAGAGTTATACTCAGAGGCTTTCATGGAAAGGGGTTTCTGGAAAAAGAAAGTAGATAGATAATGATGGAAGCTGAATCACTCTGAAAAATCTATTTGTAACCTTTCATGCAGAAAAGCTGTCTACCTGTGAGCCAGTAGGTTTTGAGACTAAGTTATGGAAGATGAATACAAGAAGTAAAATTTCTAGGGGCGCCTGGGTGGCTTAGTCAGTTAAGTGGCCAACTCTTGATTTCTGCTCCAGTCATGATCTCAGGGTTGTGAGATCGACCCCTTTGGTGGGCTCTCTGCTCAGCAGGGAGTCGGCTTCTCTCTTTTCTCTCTCCCTCTCCTTCTTGCCCCTCCCTCCACTTGTGTACTTTCTCTCTCTAAAATAAATAA